CACACACACACACGTGCAGGTGGGACGGGGCGCAGAGTCAGCGTAGACATGCTCCAGGGCTGCCGACCCTCCTCCCTCCGTAGTGCACCTTGTCAGGGACTGCTGCCCTGTAGTTGGTACCTTTTGCAGTCTAACAGGAAATGGGAAGCTGCCACGCCCCCTTGAAGAACTTGACGATGTATAAGAAGCCACACCCTCCATGGCCCGCTGCTATTCAACATAACACCGTCTGGATCAACAAGGGTGTCCCCCCTTGACACCGCTGGCGCCCATTACTCATGAAGCACGAGGCCTTCATCGTCCCCACCTGCGCGCCCGCCGACAAGCCCGGCACCGGCGGCGCGGGCTGGCGCGCCGCGCGCCGAGGCGTTTGCCGTCAGCGTGACCAACAGCAACAACCCCTCCACCGACGCTGACGAGGGCCGCGATTGGTGGGGCTTCCGTCGCCGGTGGGATCGCGGCCGATTCAAGCCATGAGGCCGACGAGCGTCGGTGGCGGCAGCAGCTTCGGCGGCGCTGCGGGCCTAGCGGTGAGCGGCTGCGGGGGCGCCATTCTGAAGGTCAGCTGCCGCCCAGCCTGACTTCATGTGTTCAACTTCTACCTGACCAGCAGCAAAGTGGACTACGAGTAACTCGTTCACTGCCCAAGTCGCTAAAAGGAGAGTTGCACCTGTGCCGCGCACCCCCTCCTTGGGCAGACCGCAGGCCCCTTGCAGCCGCCTGCGCGCCACTATGATTGCATGCGCTGCGGCGCGCGAGGCCCGGCGGCTTGGGGCCGCGCCACTGGTGATGAGGCGCGGCGAGCAGCAACCCCAGTCGCCAGCAGTAATGGGGCATGCAAGGTCTCACGGTAGGACGAACGCCGTCATACTTCGAGCGGCGCGCCACAGGGCATGACTCGTACGTGCTGAGTCACTACAAGCGGCTGCATGAGTAGAGGTAGGCCTACCGACTGTGGTGCACGCGGCGCGTGGCCCTCGGCCACAACGCTCGTCTGTTTGTCACTAATGAGAGGATTGCCTGAAGAAGACCCAGCCACAATCGATGCAACAGATATGATGGCTTGAAGGCGAGCGGAAAGCAAAAGCAGCGCGACATGGGCGGCTCAATGAAGGGTCATTCCAAGCATCATGCAAGCAAGGCTTGGGCACGGGCACGACAGGGTTTGTTGAAGGGTGTGGACCAACGTGCGCGCGCTCTTGGGCGGGGTAAAGGTGAGTGCTGGCTGCGTGCTCCCAGGGGGGGCTCAGCCCCGCCACAGACGGCCGGAACACGCATATGCTTCCCCAAATTATGGGTGCAGCAATTGCACAAAGGCCTATGCGAATTCCATCCCTGCGGCTTGCAGGATTGGTGTGCGTACCCAGCCGAAAGTCCTGATTTTAGCCGGCTGGAAATAAATCCCGCATCCCCCTAACGAAACCGCCGGTATAACCGCCGGTGAAAAAGCTCAAAGCAATCATCGACGCAGCCCGCGTCATCGCCCGCCCTCGCCGGTGCTCCACTGACGCGGCGGGGCAGCGGTCAACTCACGATCAAACTGCGGGCGCACGCCGCGCGCCCGGTCAACAGGTTGGGGGCCGCGTTCAAACCGTTCCAGGCATTTGGCGTTGAGGATATATGATCGGATGCATTCAAGCGTGTACTGTGTTGCCACGGGCGCTGATTTGACGCTCGCAGCCCCAGGCCCCGCAATTTGGTGCGTGCCCTAGCGACACACCATCCTTCTTGAACCGACGCTATTATTGCCTCATTGGCCTAGAAGGCGCGCCAGATCAGCACCCATGTGCAACGCGCAGGCCCGGCGCCCTCACGCCAGCTGCTGCCCTCACGACATGGGCAGCCCTGCGGCGGCGGCCGCCACCGCTTGCTGCAGCCCAAACTGCTGGTGCTGCTGCTGGTGCTGTTGGTGCTGCTGGTGCTGCTGCCGCGCATGCAGCGCCGCCTGCGCCTGCTGCGGTGCCGGCGCGGGGCGCCGCACGGGCAGCAGCGGGACCACCTTTTTCAGCACGATATTGTAATACAGGTTGTGCTGCACATCACACCCTTCCCCGCCACCACCGCCACCGCCCCCGCCGCCTTGCGCCTGTGCGGGCGCACTGGCGGCGCCCGCGGCATCGCCGCCGGGCGTGGGCCGCTGGTTGACACCGCAGTCGAAGCGCTCGACTGCGAAGCCCTCCTGTGCCCTGCGGGCGAGGACGTGATTCATCTGCTGCATGATGAGGACCTGGGTGGGGTGGGGTCGGTTGGGGTTGGGTCGGGTGGGCAAGACAAAGGTGGGTGGAAGGGCGCTCCACGGGAGGGGTAATGACCAAACTTATGGGAGGGACTCTCCAAGGCTTTTGTGGGCCAGGGAAGATACGTGCTTTGGAGGGCCGCTCGGCTCGGGTTTGCCGGGAGGCATGGCGGGCGTGACATGCTGGGGAGGATGCGGCAGGGGCCAGGAAGTTTGGGGGCGGTGGGAGAGTGCGGCGCGGCGCGCACCTTGCTTCGCTCCATCTCGCCCATGCTGGCCTGCTGCGCGGGCTCGATGGTTTTGAAGCCTGGGGTGACACGGGGCGGGGGACGGCGGAGAGGGCAGGGGTGCACGCGGAGCGGGTCAGGGTGAACGGATGGGGTCTGGGCACAGGGCAGGTCCGAGGGTCTTGAAGCCGGGAGATGATCACAGGGGGTGAGGAAGGGGACCCATCACAGGTCAGGCCCCGCCGATCAAAGGGTTGCTGGGGACGACGCAGGTGGTTTTGCCGGAGGGCGGGCCGAGACGAGCGCATGAGCGCCATTTGCAGGCGGGCAAGGCCACCCACAACATGTATGGCTGGCGCATCTACACGCACGTGCGCACACGCGCACGCACGCATGCGTGCGGATATGTCCCTGCAAACACACACGCACCACCAGTTCACAATCCCCACAATCCCCATTCCCCAGAACCCTCGGACCCCCAACCCCCGTCCTCACCCCCACCCCGCCCCACCTGTTTCGAAGTAGAGGCTGTCGTAGAACGCCCGGGTGCCCGGCTGCGGCATGATGCTGGTGCGCTGGATGTGGTCCAGCAGGCCTGGCAGGCGGTAGAACAGCGCCTCGCGCCCCACTGACACCAGATCACTGGGCGTGTGAGTGAGTGTGTGTGTGCGTGCATGTGTGTATGTGTGTGTGTATGTGTGTGTGAGACAGAGTGTGCGTGTGTGTGCTTGTGCGCATGC